GCTCCTCTTGGTCTGTTAAAATTCCCAAGAGAATACACCAGGGGAAATGCCTGGCAAGTGAGAACAGAACAGCCAGGGCTCTTGTGGCCACTGTGTATCGATAACCTGCTTGGAGTCCAGCATTGTCAGTGGCCTGGGGGGTGACCCTCTCCCCTCTCTGGGGCCGGAGTTCCCTTAGAGCTTTTTTTTACCGAAACTATTGGAAATGATCAAAAACCTGGTTCCATTCTATCTTCGCCTGAAGCTAAAACAAAATAAAATGGAAAAAAAGATGATTTTTTTTTTCAACTGTCTTGAAGGCACAGCTTTTGAAAATAGGGTCTGAGGGCTGTTTTGTTTTTGTTCTGCTTCTGTTTTTTGTTTTTGCTTTGCTTTTGTTTTGTTTCTTGTTTTTGTTTTCTGGGGTTTGGTTTTCAATGGAAGGTGAATGGGAAAGCTTACCTGTCCTGCTGGAGAAGAGAGAACTTATTGTGTCTGGTATACAGCAGGCACTCAATAAAAATGGTCTAGATGGATGAGTGAATGGGTGAACTTGCAGCCCTCATCCCAGACTCTGTAGTTGTTGCCAGAGTTATGCTCATCTGCTGAACAGCATCTAAAGCTTGTTCCTTGAAGAACCAAATCTGTTAGACTGTCCCCTAGTCCCTAGTAACTCCTCTCCTTGAGGAAAATACACCAAAACACACACCTTCCCCTCAACTGCTGGAATTTTCCAGAGGGATAGGAAACTAAGTGTCAAGTGAAGACATTCGTGTTGTGATATTAGGATGGGTCTTTTAGAGATAAGTGTCTGCAGCCAGGAAAAGTAGCATCAGGAGGAAATAATGCATGTGTAGGCAGTGATGGAAATCTAGAGAGTCTGCACCATGGGAACTCAGACTGTTATTGTTTATAAATTTCCTTCGTGTTAGTACAGCTGTGGGGATGCTGTGAAACATGGCCATGTATTTCCAGGCCTGTGGTGGGGCCTTACTCCTGTGACCCTGACCATGATCTTTATCTGTAGATGTACCTACGCCTTCCTCGCTGTCAGCCCTGAGCTCTCTCCATCAGCACCAGGTCTGTGTGTATTTTCGGTGATCTAGGATGCTGAATGAACTCTTTTCCCTCTTTTCCCTCTTTTCCAGGGCACTCTTTCCCTTGGTCTGCCCTTCCTGTCCACACTCCTGCCAAGCCTTTGGCTCCCGAATGACCTTCTCCATCCCACTCCGGGCCTGTCCCACCCAGAGAGTGCCCTTCTGGCTCAAATGGTTTTGATGTTCTCAAGCTTGAAGGTCAAGGCCATGCCAGGCCCATGGTTCCATGATTCCACAAGTTGGATGCAGAGCTTCAACTAGTGAGGTGTGGAGGAGACGAAGAAAAGTTCATTGGAGTGGAGCCCACAACCTCAACGCCTTAGACACTGGGAGGGAATCCAACATGCAGTGGAGTTTTGGAGATTCCCAAGAGTAGGAAAATCCTGTGTGGGGTAGAGCTTGAGAGGCAATTTCTGGAAACCCACCTTAGAAGATATAACCCAACTATCAAGTCCCCTCATCTACAGTGGTCTCAAAGTTAATGACCTGTGGGCTAACCTTCTAAAAGGCATTGACATATTTTTCTGTTTCCTGGTTGCGTTGGATTTTCCTTTTGGGGGGTTTCCCTGTTAGATATGATTTCATCATATATTTATGGTCCCTTTCTTCTTTTTCCAGAAAGAAGGCAGGGTTTGTCTTTATCCAAATGGCTGCCGCTGCCTTCCTAATGGTAGTGGCCCTGTGAGTGGTCGTCAGAGGGCCAGCGGCTGACTCCTGTCTGCATCCGTCCTCATAGCTGGTTTCACACCCCATCCCAACCCTTAGGGGCAGCTGAGTCCACTCTCCGGCAACCTTCCAGGCTGCCAGGTCTGCCCCCGTCCCTGCCCCGCCTGCCAGTGTCTCGGCTAGGGACAGTGTGAGGCTCCAAAGCTCCATATCTCATGATTGGCTATAGGGAGTTGAAACTGAACACACGGATTTCATTCTGAGGTTTTGAAGGCGAATGTCGTTGGAGGCTAAACCCAGCTGTCCGAGCTGGGGTCACCTCTGTGCATATGGTACATGGCCTGTTTACAGTCACGGAGACAGGACCGTGGCGGTTCACTGTTCCTTGCAAGTGTTTCCAAACAGCTGTCACCAGTGGAGTTTTGACATGACAGTTTCAGAAGGCTCTGGCTTAAGAAACAGAAGCCAGCTGGCAACTTGCTTCCCTCCAGGCCGCCCCGGGCTTCAGCCGAGGGTGGGCAGTGCACTAGTCCCCTCGGGCTGGCATAGCTAAATGCCGCAGACTGGGGGGCTTACGTGACACAAATTTATTAATTTATTTCCCACAGTTCTGGGGGCTGGAAGTCCAAGGTCAAGGTGCTGGCGAGACCCAGGGTCTGGGCTGTGGACGGCCACCTTCTCAGTGTATCCTCAGTGGCAGAGACAGAGAGGGAGAGTCCCCGGGTCCCTTCTGCTTCTTGTAGGGGGACTGATCCCATCATGGGGGCCTCGCCGTTGTGACCTCATGTGATCACCTGCCAAAGGCCCCACTTCTGAATACCGTTCCATTTGTCAGGGCTTCAGGA